AGAGAGTCCTTGGTTTTAGTGGCTTCTCCAACATGCGTCTCCTTGTCTCCACTGGTGGAACTGTGGAGGGGAAAAGCTGAGAGAGACAAACTTTCTGATAGTTATTATTCAGTTTTTCTACCAGGTTGTGAACATCAGTGGACAATGCAATATACATCACCTTCTACTAGCGGTGCCCCTCTGGAAGCTGACCATGGTGTTGGAAATAGTCTTATTTCAAATGGAAATAATTTGGTTACTGCAGATTGAGTCATTCTAATCTCACAGAGGACTTGAGTAAGTAATTTGACCCAGGTCATTAAAGTTTTAGCACACTTTTGAATTACTTCTAATGTGAATGAAGGTCCTCTATCACTGTTAATCTGGTGAGGTATTCCGAATCTGGGTATTATTTCATTGCTCAACTTTTGACAGACTACTTCTGCAGTTTCTTTTGATGTTGGATAGGCTTCTACTCATTTACTAAATTGATCCACTATTACCAGTAAGTACTTGATGCTTCCTTGTGCTGGCATATGTGTAAAATCAATTTGTAATGTATGAAATGGAAAATCTGGTTGTGGTAAATGCTGATGTTTCGCTTTTGATTTTCCTACATTAGTTCGCGCACATGTTAGACAGGTTGCTAATATGCTTTTTACTGCATGCAATGTTTTCTCAATTACAAATCTTGATTTTATTGCCCCTATTACCCCTCTTTGTCCGACATGACTCACACAGTGAAAATGTCGGACAAGGACTGGCATCAGGGAATATGGGAGGGCAATCAAACCCTTAAGATTTTGTATAAGCCATCTCTGTCATCTAAGGTACAGTCATTATTCTCCCAATAGGTGTAATCACATGCAGAGGCTTGCTCTTGTATCAATTTTAAATCAACATTTGTGTCTAAATAGTCTGGGAGTGTAACAAGTGGCAGCTGTAGGGGCACAGATAATACTTCCTGCGGCGGTGGGAGCTGTGATGCAGCTGCAGCCTTGGCTGTCACGTCTGCTAGAGCATTACCTGTTGCTTCGTCTGTGTCAGCTGTACTGTGTCCTTTCGTTTTTACAACTGCAACGGCCGATGGCAGCTGTATAGCCTGCAAAAGTCTTTTAACAAAATCAGAATTTGCAATTTATTTTCCATCAGCAGATCTAAATCCTCCCTGTCTCCACAATGTGCCAAAGTCATGCACAACGCCAAATGCATAGCGGCTGTCTGTGTAAATCGTCACATGCTTATCCAAATGTAGCTCACAGGCGCGTATTAAAGCCATGAGCTCTGCTTTTTGTGCTGAGTGAAATGGTAATGAGTGAGCCTCTAGTATGATGTCAGGCAATGTCACCACTGAATAGCCACAAAGAAATGAGTTGTCACTCGGCCTTGAACAGGACCCGTCCACATAAACCGTGGCTGAGTCTGGGATAGGTGTTTGCTCTAAATCTGGACGTGGTGCCGTGGATTCCTGTATACGTGTCATGCAGTCATGATCATCAAGCCTGTCTGAGCCATCCTGTCGGTCAGAAGAACACAGCATAGGATCAATAAATGTGAGATTTGCATATGTTGTTTAGTTATGTTTGCTAGAATGGTCGTGACCTGGTGATTGGTGTGTAGAATAGTGTCATGTGAGAGTGTAAGCTTCTCGCAGTCCCTTATCATGATAGAGCAAGCTGCTACTGCCCTCAGGCAGGCCGGCATTCCTGAACAATTCAGGCAGCACCTTTGAGTGGCGGAGGTCAGCACTCCCTTTAATGCATTGAAAGAGGCAGTCATTTCTGTGGATCACAGTATTCGAGGAGGCTTCTCTTTTTTACAACAGTCACGCAGAATGTGGTCATGAAAAGAACAGTCTGGTATCCACTGTCTGCAATAGTTCACCATGCCCAGGAAGGACAACATTTCCTTCTGTGTAGTGGGACGAGGGACGGAGGTCACAGCTTTGACCCTGTCTGCAGTCATGGAACGTTTTCCGTGAGACAGTGTGAATCCCAAATATTGAACAGAAGTCTGACAATACTGCATTTTCTTTGCTGATGCTTTGTGGCCAGTCTTTTGGAGGTGCTGGAGAAGCATGTGTGTAGCAGTTTGACATAGTTTTTCACTTTCAGCACAGAGGAGGAGGTCATCCACATGTGGATCAGGGTGCAGCCCTGGAGGAGTGAAGCACCATTGAGAAAGCAGCAGAGCTGTCTATCATGCCTTGGGGCAAACGAGTCCAAGTGTACTGCTTATTTCTATGTGTGAATGCAAATAACGGCTGTGTGTCTTCATGCACAGGTACTGAAATCCACCACGGTAAAGTGTGTATGCAATGCATGTCAATATGCTGTGAACATCTGAAACGAGAGGTGGCAGAGGAATGTTGACTGCATTAATTTGCCTTAAGTCTTGTATGAAACGCCATACGCCAGGTTTGTTAGGCTTTGGCACATAATTGACAGGAGTGTGGGCTTTATTACTCCTGTAGTCAATAAATCTCCTGTGATGACATCTAGGGCTGCGGCTTTTTCCGTGGAAATGGGATGCTGCTTGACATATACTGCTTGTTGTGTTTTAATAGGTGTGCGTGATAAAGTGTACAGTCAATAAATCCTATATCATTCTCACTTTTTGACCATAATGTCATATTCTGGTATTCAGCTGGCAACGTAACTGCAGAAATAGTACAGTGGATAGGGTAGGGTAGATCTATGTGACGACATGGTGTAGTTATGTCATAAACTATGTCTGAGTTATGTGACAAAATCACTGTTTGACCTTCACTTGTGTGAGCAGTTATCATGTTGTTGAACAGTGTGAGAGAAACAAAAGTGTGGCTCCCAGTCATGGGATTACCTGTTAGTGGCGTCTGTACACGTTTTTTTTTTTTTGGCACAGTGTGTGACATAGAGTACCGGACAAAAAGGATGTTGAGTTCATTCTCTGCTGAGGGTCCAGCTGACACAGAGGATGTTCCTTCTCCATCATGTCGGTACATAGGGCAGAGAAAACATAAGCTGTTATCAGTGTCAGCAAACATTTCACCCTTTATGTTAAATTAAATACACAAATTCATTTTTGCTTTGGGTGTCTGCGGCTGCTGGAAAACTGAGCTGAATTTGCACCTGTGGGGCCATTATTGCATGCTTCCCTTTGTTGCCAGTTACCTTGTCTGGAAGAGCTCCGCTGACGCCTAGTGGCAGGAACTTGTACTGCGTTCTGTGGTCGAGGCGCGTGTGCCCTGTTGGTGGCTGCAAAGCGACATTCTCTGGACCAGTGTCCTACCATTCCACAGCAAAAACACACGTCTCTACTTTTATCTTTCCGTCCTCTGAAACTTCCTTGCTGTGCTGGAGCGGGTAATCCTGCATACATTAGTTTCTCACTTTCCTCTGAGCCTTCTACATCAAAATTCAACTTTATCTGAACACTTTTAGCTTTCGTGGTAGTATCTGCACTGGCCTTCAGTTTTACTGACCTGTTTTCTGGCGATAATCGTTCGGGATAGGGCTCCGGAAAGAGATTAGAAGGCATTGTACTTACAGTCCGTAAGTTGTAAACAAAGTCAGTCACATAAGCACTTCCGCATGTTCTGGATACGTGATCATGGACGTCTTCACCGATTCGCGGACGTAGGTTACACGTAACCGGAAATGGGAGTTGTACTGAGCCGTTATTTGAGACTTTATTTTGTATTTTATTAATTTTTGGTTTTACAGGTACTTTAGATTTTTTTATCGGACCTGTCTGTGGTCTTTGAATAATTCTGACCCATGTTCAGTGATTTCCAGAGGGGTTTACACGCTAGGAGGATTTAGGTTAGTATTTTCGCTGCGGCACAGCTGAGGTCACTTTAAATTTATTGCTAGCAATTTTTTGTTTGTGTGAGCAACTCTCACTTAACAACAGGCAACTCCCTGTGTCTTTCTGCTTTTAATTTACTGCTTTTAACCCTTGAGACCCGTGTTTTTTCTTTTTTTGTTTTTTTTGTTTTTTTTGTTTTTTTAAAGAAAAATTAAACAATTAATTATTATTATTATTATTATTATTTACGTATAAATGTGTTGTGTCTTTCCACTTGATTATAACTGATTTATTTATAACATTTTATATAAAAGAAAATTGTTTGATAGTGTTAATTTGGAAAGCCACAACTCTAGCGGGTCCACCAACACCACACAAGGGTTAATTTACTTTATTCGGGGACTGAGGAAGTCAGTCAGTGTATCTCTCTGGATCACTAAGTGAAACTTCGTCAGCATATCCCGTTTTTTTTTATGGATCGATCACTGAGAGAGGTATAATAGGTCTTTATATAAATATGAAAGACGCATATTTACCTTCTGTCAGCCATCCCACTTCTGACACCAAAATTGAAGGAAATTGCCTTCCCGGGTTTCCTCCGTGGCGTGAGCGATAAGCAGAGTTCTGTCCTTTCCTTCTAAGATTCCTAATTATTTAAAGTAACACTCAGGTATGCCATTCAGCGTGTTAGTACGAGCTCGGGAGCAGCTTGGGAGAACAAGAAAACAGAGACTGCTTTAGGTTGCCTTCCCAATCGACTCAAAGGTTTATTTGATACACAGCAGTTTATATAGAGGAAAAAAAGGTTCGTGTGTCAGCTTTCCCAGTTCAAACCGGTACAGACTAAATAAGGAAACGTCTTCCTGCCTTCTGAGCAAAGTATCCTGTGTGTAGTTTATCAGTTCAGCTATAATTTATGATCATCCCAGCAAAATACACTCCTAGACATAAAATACAGAGTTCTTTCATTAGTGAATTCTGAAACAAACCACCTAGCCTGTAACGAGCCTTTTCCAGGAGATAAAGAAAAAGGGAGGATGGGAGTAAGGAAGTGGTCTCATCTCTGTGGTGTTTTCGACCTTGAGGTACCAGCCTGTAAGTCTTACACATTAATTCTTGGGTCACAGAGAAAGAGAAAAACAACTAGTAGATGGGCCATATTGAGTAACAGTTTTCCTGTATAAAACAATATCTTGTAAATGCTTACCGTGGTATCAAAATATCATAACAGTTATGATGTGTCATTTAACGCTAATGGGGATCTTGTGGCTATTTATGAGTTGGTTAACTGGCGGAAAAGTGAGACTGGCATAACTGAGATAGTAACTGTAGGGTTGTATGATGCATCACTGCCAGCAGGCCAGGAGTTCCAGATTAACAGAAGCATAAACTGGATGGAGGGTAGCACAAAAGTAACGAGTAAAAGGACAAGAGTTTGGCAAATAAGACTTTGGTTAACATAATGATAGCAAAAATTTGCAGTTATTATGTAGCCTCTATGTCTTGACAGGTGCCAGTGTCAGTGTGCAGTGCCAGTTGTCCTCCAGGAACTCGTAAAGTGCTGCAGAAAGGAAAACCCATCTGCTGCTATGACTGTATACCGTGTCCTGAGGGAGAGATAAATAATATTACAGGTAAAATACAATTTTTGCCCATGCATGTAAAATGTGATAGGGTGGATATCTACAATAATATGAATGATTAAAATATTACAATTCTTATAATTCTTGTTTTTAATTTATGTATTTATTTCAATCAGATTCGGCTGATTGTTTACCATGTCACAAGGAATTCTGGCCTAATAGAAAGAGAGACACTTGTATCCCTAAGCCTGTAGAATTTCTTTCATTTCAAGACCTCCTAGGAATTATCCTGGCTACACTCTCAGTTCTGGGTGCCTGTCTGGCCATTATGACTGGGGCTGTATTCTTTCATCACAGGACATCTCCAATTGTCCGAGCCAACAACTCTGAGCTGAGCTTCCTGCTGCTCATCTCACTGACTCTGTGTTTCTTATGTTCATTAACTTTCATTGGAGCACCATCAGAGTGGTCCTGCATGCTGCATCACACTGCATTTGGGATCACCTTTGTACTCTGTATCTCCTGTGTACTTGGGAAAACTATAGTGGTTTTAATGGCTTTTAAAGCGACACTTCCAGGTAGCAATGTCATGAAATGGTTTGGTCCTCCACAACAAAGAATGACTGTTGTGTCTTTCACCTTTATTCAAGTTTTAATATGTACTGTATGGTTGGTACTTAGCCCTCCATTCCCAATTAAAAATCTAACCACATACAAGGAGAAGATCATCCTGGAATGTGCATTAGGCTCCCCTGTTGGCTTCTGGGCTGTTCTCGGCTACATAGGCCTACTTGTTGCCTTTTGTTTTGTTTTAGCTGTCTTAGCCCGCAAATTACCTGACAATTTTAATGAAGCCAAGCTTATCACCTTCAGCATGTTGATATTCTGTGCAGTGTGGATCACCTTTATCCCAGCATATGTCAGTTCTCCTGTGAAATTCACTGTAGTTGTGGAGATTTTTGCCATTCTGGCCTCCAGCTTTGGACTAATGCTGTGTATATTTGCTCCAAACAGAACACCAAGAAATATGTCATGACTAATGAAAGAAATCTCCGTCCCGGATCATCCGTGGATCGGGTTTCCTCCGAGGCGTGGGCACCTATAAGCAGAGTTTTGTCTTTACCCTATAAGATTCAAAATCATTCAAAGTAACACTCAGGTATGCCATTCAGCAGGTTAGGTTCAGCGCCGGGAGTAGCTTGGGAGAACAAGGAAACACAGACTGCTTCAGGTTGCTTTCCCAAAATCAACTCAAAGGTTTATTCATCAGACAACAGTTTATATAGAGGAAAAAGGTGTCAGCAGATTCTCAGTTCAAACCGGTACAGATCAAATAAGGAAGCGTCTTCCTGCCCTCTGAGCAAAGAAGTATCCTTTGTATAGTTTATCAGTTCAGCTACAATTTATGATCATCCCAGCGAAATACACTCCTAGACATAGGATACAGAGTTCTTTCATTAGTGATTTCTGAAACAAACCACCTGGCCTTTAACAAACCCTTTTCTAAGAGATAAAGAAGGGAGGATGGGAGTAAGGAAGTAATCTCTGTGGTGTTTTCAACCTTGAGGTACCAGCCTGTGATTCTTACACATTAATTCTTGGGTCACAGAGAAAGAGAAAAACAACTAGTAAATGGGCCTTATTGAGTAACAGTTTTCCTGTATAATATCAATATAAAACAATATCCTGTAAATGCTACCATGGTATCAAAATATCACAACAACTAAGGATAGGATTTAGAGGTTTCACACTTAAAAAACAAAAAACAAGCGCGTCCATGCTCACAGGTGTACACACGGGTGATCACACCCACAAACTACACCCTTTTTGGCTCCTACCTCAAAGCACACTGTGTTCTGTTGATCTTATGTGCTGCACAATAATGTTTAACATTTAGTATTTACTGTCATATTCCCATATATCATTGTGATGTTGTTTATTCTATTACTCTTGTTCTCTTCTGCTTGCTTTCTTTTTTCTTTCTCAGCAGGTGACCCAGGTGATTGATATATGCATTTTTTTTTCTCTGCCCGTTCTGTTGGTTTTTGTCTTTTGCCCTTCTCCCCCGTCCCTCTTCTCAGCTGTTTTTCTTTCCCTCTTTCTTTCTCCTTCTTTCCCCCAGTCAAGTCTGTCCCGTATTCAGTAAGTGAAAATAAAATAAACAATAAAAGGTGAATCAAATGGACCATTACGGCAAGGCTGGGATGGTCAGTTTGGTAAAGTAAATCCGTTGGGCATCTTTCTTTGCCTTTAGACAACAATTCTGAGGGCAAAAGAGCCAAAAGGGACAGGCCAAAAAAAAAAAAAAAAAAAAAAAAAAACATCTGCCTCTCTGACATCAAGTTAAGGGAGTCCAGCTCTATCCCCACAACAGTACTGGCCTTTTGGATCAGTTTATTGAGTCTGTTGGCATCTGCGATTCCTCAACCTGCTGCCCCAGCATGCAACAGCATGGCACTGGCCACAACAAACTCATAAAACATCCTGAGCATTGCCAACACATGTTAAAATTGAGGGTAGGGCACCAGTGCCAGAGGTGGGTTGGAGTACACCGACCATCCTCTGGATGCTGTAAAATGTGCCCACCCCCAAGGCCCTATATGTATGTGTTATGTGAGAGTGTGAGTAATGTGGATGTCTCGGTTGCAGAATAAAATTGAGGCACAGGCGGCCAGAAGGGGACAGAGGAGGAGTGCCTCCCCTGCACCCTGGTGACATACCTGCACCCCAAACCCTGCGTGTGTGGGTGGGTGTGGTAGAGCGGGAATAGGGAGGCAGCTGAGGATGGGGAGGGAAGAAAGGGAGGGGCAAGTGGCCCTAAAATTGTCAGGGCTCTGTGTGCGGGCAGGCGGAGAGGAGGATCCAAGCGTAGGACTCGAACACAGAATTGTGAATCAGAACCTTAGCTTTATTGCTGACATGAAAACCAAACGTGAAGTGACCACTGAAACCGGAGACCAGGAACACACAGGCATAATCTGAGGGTACAACACGACACTGAGCACAGGAAAACACAGGGCTAATATACACAGGGTGGTAATCAGGGAATGGGCAACAGGAGGGAGACACAGCTGGGAGAGATCAGGGTAACGAGACGGGGGGGGGGGGGGGGGGGGAACCAAGCTGCACACACTAACATAAGACAAAGACTTTCACAATAAAACAGGAAACATGAATTACTAAACAAGCACGCAGACTTGACACTGTGAGACAGACAGAAAATATTCTAGAGTCAAATGTGAGGCCAAATAGCTAAAGTTTGATCGAATCTCCTGATCAGGCTTTCCAGTCTGCCTTACCTCTTGGTCAATCTCTAAAATGCATTTGCTGTCATTAAAATAACTAGACAGTTATTTTAATGTTAAGGGTTTCTTCATCAGTTCTAATATATTTTGGATTTGAATGAACTGTGACAGTTGTATACAACTGATATTATAGTAAGTGTATTAAAGTGTACAACAAAATAAATATGTATAATCAGCTAAAAGGTATCCATATTTGGAGGTAATATAGAAATTCAACACTAAATATTCCTTTTAATTTCTCTGGTTACGTTTTTGAGAAAAGCCTTTCTTTAATTGCTAAATAACCTGCAACCTCGATTTGATGTCAACAACTGTAAAAACTAGACAAAACTCAACATTTGGGGTAAATATTGACTCATTTATTCAATAAGCTGTATTTGAAAATCCCTCTGTGCTGAATGTTCTAACAGCAGGTAGAGCTGTGTACTGTGAACCAAATTAAACAGCTCATTGCTTACATTGTAAAAATGCTTTTTATAAAGCATCTTTTTTTTATCCAGTAATAGTTGAAGTAATATATATAGTATATTGCCTGTATTGTTGCAGTGCTCTAAATCACTCAACTGCTTCCCATGTTACACATTTGGGCTGCAGTTAGAGCTCTTTCCACTCATGAGATCTGAAAGGAGCTGCAGGCTCCCTCTTACCAGAATCTGCAGATATCTCACACACACAAACACACACCGACACAGACACACACAGACACACACATACCAACACCAAGAACAGTCCAACATGCTAACCATGTTAGTGTTTAACACAGTGTTTGCCTCACTAGGCAGGGCTTTTGTTTTATCTAAGACGTGTGTGGACAGTACAGAGACTGTTGGTGGTTTAATCACTTTGGGGCTGACTGAATCCATGTGTAAGCAGGATCGTGTTGCACACAGTTGGGCTGTAGATGAGGTAGAAAATAATAGCTTTTAACAAATAATTTTAGTTAAAACAAGTAACAGAACTAACAAGAGAAGAAAAACATCCAGAATCACTGAAACATGTTTCAGATGATATTTTATTTACTTTCACATTCAAACATTATAAGTGATTACTACAGTATTAAACTTAAACACAACTGGGTTTTCCAACACAATAAACACAAAGTTTTTCTTTTTTTCACATTAAAATATAAGAATTTATTTTTTTTTACTCTGAAATAGAAATAAAAAATTCATCTTGAATATTTTCCAGTCATGCCTTTCTTGATATTTCTCTCAGGTCGTAGTAAAATAATGTAACATTTGGGGATGAAAATACATAGTAACAATCCAAAACTGGATGATAATATAGCAAATATTTCCACTGCCACAGAGAACTTTCCAGGAGAGCTGACATAAGCTGGAATGAAAGAAATCCACACAGCCCAGAAAATTAGCATGCTGAAGGTGATGAGCTTTGCTTCGTTGAACGTGTCTGGTAGTTTTCGTCCAAGAAATGCCAGGAGAAGACAGGCAAAGGCGAGCAGGCCAATGTAACCAAGGAGCAGGTAGAATCCAGGAGGCCATGGCTCTTTACACTCCACCACAATCTAATATAATCTAACAATTAGTATGTATACAGAGAAATGGTTCATTTTATATGATTTATTTGTTTCTGCTCTGATGTCTACACTAATCACTGAAGTCCCCTTCTATAGGATTTGAAGACATCTTACTGTATAACTTAGTGATATTAACGTCCAAGAATAGAAATTGCAACAATTAGTGTTTTAGTACTTCCTACTCACTCTTCCAGTTGAAGCTTGGTAGTTTGGATTCCTGAATGGGAACGGAGGTGCGGCTAGCACCCAGCCAGCACAGAGACAAATCTGGAGCAGCATAAAATAATAGTTACAGAAAGTGGCTACAAAAACTGACATTATAATTTGCTGACAGTTTGATATCTTTCCCACCTGAGGAGCTGTGGTACAGATGATCAGAATCCTCTGCTGAGCTGTACCAAACAGCATCCGACCCCTGGAACCAGGTACATTAGTCCGGAAAGCCAGGAGAACCACAATGGTCTTAAAAAGGACGCAGGACAAACACAGGGCAAAGTTGATCCCAAATGCTGCCTGGCGGAGCCTACATGTCCACCAAGACGGCTGACCAATGAACACCAGAGAACACAGGAAACAGAGCTTGAGTGACAGGAGAAGCAAGAAACTTATTTCTGAATTGTTGGCCTTGACGATGGGTGTAAAGCGGAAACTGTGAAACACAATGGTGATGATGGATGTCAAGATGAATCCCAGCAGGGTGAGTGCAACCAGGATAATACCCATGGCATCATAGAAAGAGAGGAACTCTTCTTCCCCTGCAACACATTTCACCTTGTCTTTGTCTGACAAGTAGTATTCAGGACATTTTATGCAATCAGTGGAACCTTTGGGAGCAGAGAACACAAGACAACAAGACATATGTGGATTAAAATTCAGGAACTAATCAATATTTTTTCAATACTTTTTAACAGTGCAACATTTTCATTCTTTAATATGATATGGGCTACCAGTCTGGTTGCTGATCTCTCCATCTGCACAGGGCAAACAATCAAAGCAGCATTTGGGCTCTCCTCGACGTGTGGCCTGCCTGCTGCCAGGGGGACATGGAGCACTACACTGAGATACAGGAACCTGAACAAGGAACAGAAAAAAGATATAATAATGTGAATCAATAGGTTGTAATATTTTCTTACTGAGTATTTGACATAGTTGATCAAATAATTTTCAACAGCTTAAAAATGTTTAATTTTAAAG